GCAAAGTAATCTTAAAAAATATCTTAACAACTGTTTCTCACACTGATCCTTATTGAGTCTTGCCTGGTCAACATTGGAAGGCAAGTCCTATACTCCTGTTATCCTTTTTCTTTTTTCAATATCACTCTTTGTTAATGGATGATCTTCGTATTTTATTAATTTTTTTTTCTTTTTCTTTTCATTTTATCATGGAATGTAATCAATAATTGCAACGTAAAGAAATTCTATTTATATATAACTTTTAATGCATTTCGAGAAAGTTATTTCCAGTTTTTTTTTTCCAAACATTATTCAAATCAGCGCCAACGGTGCAACTGGATTCCTTTTAGTTATATATAACTAGGTCATATATAAACAAATGGTATCCAAATATTTACGATGGCTTCTTTTTATTTTAATCGTGACATTCAACATCTGGTCAATTTAGTCGATGAGTTTGAATCTATGCAACAATAAATAATTAAAACTAGAAAGGGTACCCCAGCTATGCAGTGGTCAGAAGTTTTAATGTTGTTTCCGAATCGATAAATATGACAAACGTAGAAAGTGTAATGATGAAAGTCTGGGCTTTGCCTCGGACCGTTTTTTTAATGTTTTTATGAAAAAATATAAAAGTTTTGACTGCAAGGACCAAAAGTATCAAAATGGCTAAATAATTAAAGGGGTAGAAATTAACAATTTTTTAGAAAATTGATCAAAGTTATCAAATCGTTAAAGTTTACGACCAAACTTTAAATATTAAAATGTTCATAAAAAGTTTTAAAATATTGATTGCAAGGACCAAAAATATCAAAATGGCTAAAAAATGAAAAGAAAAATTACCAAAAAATTTTCAAATTTATTATTTCTAAGATTTATTTCTTTAATATATATATATATATATATATATATTATATATATTATATATATATATATATATATATTATATATATATATATATATATATATATATATATATTAGTTCCCTGGGTATAAAATTTTCATGGTTCATACTTTTGTCACAATTATGTACATATTTTAACGGTTCTAATCTCTAAAATAATAAAATTTTATTTTTTGTGTTTTTACCCCCCAACATTTTTGACTTCCGACTAAGTGGCTAACTCATTCCTTTTTCCGTTTTCTTTACCTCAATTTGCTTAGTCCTCACTTTTATCCACTTTTGCTCACAATTCTTTGTCAGCTTTGACAATTTTAGTCACTAAAATAATAAATAAAGATAATGATTTAAAAAGGTAACGAAGTTTTAAAAGTGTACAAAAAAGATCATTGTTGTTTTTTTTTTTACACAAAATACCATTTTACCGGTTATTGTAGGTTATATGGTTTCCAAATGTTCAAAAAATACCATTGTTGTTTTTTTAGTACAAAAAATACCATTAATGTTACTATTTGTACACAGAATACCAACAAAATATAAATGTCTTCAACTAAAACATTGTGGTAACCAGGTACTTCAGGTAAATGGGATGAGATGAGCGTAATCAGCAAGTGCTTGTTTAATTTTTGTTGAAATTGTTGGAAAAGATCTTACTTCCACCGTATGATCAGACGAACAAGATTACAGGTGATGCTTCGGCTGATAAATTTTTCTTCAAATCGGTGATGAGAAGAGCGTAATCAGCAAGTGCTTGTTCGACTGTTAGATAGGCTAAAGTAGAAGCATTCTTGTATGCCTCTTTCTGGCTTCCATATGACATCGATTCACCATAATATCGATGCTAGATCAAATCACGCAGCTTTTGATAAAATTATATTATTAAAGGTCTGCAAGTGAACAAATTAATGTAGAGTAGAGTGATTAGGACTTTTACTTCGGGGAAGATGACCATGGCACCAAAACGAGGGGCGAGTTCCCAAACGAAGTCGGTGTTGGCAGCGAACCATTCAATGTCGCCTTCGTTGCCGCAATAAATGAAGATTGGGCCCAAACGACTAGGGCCTGGGCCCACCCAGTGATCGGAGTTGATGAGATAACGTTGTTGGAACTTGGGAAGATCATTGAAACTGAAATGATCAAGAGTCTGATCAAAGTATCGTGTCTCGTAAGTGTACCTCGGCTGAACAAGAATTGTTGGCTTTTGAGAAGCCGTGGGGATTTGCCGAGAAACGGAGGTAGCCGGTGAGATTCCGACGTTGATGAAAGTAGGCAGATGATTAGGAGGAAGAATAAGAAAAAGGGTTTTGCCATGGTGGTGGAGGGTGGCGATGAACAACAGTAGTAGTCGAAGTGAAGTGGAGGGTTCTTTATAAAAAGTAGCTAAATTTCCATTACATTTAAAGAAGGAAAAATGACTTAAAAAGGTAGTGAAGTTTCAAAAATGTAAAAAAAAAGACCATTGTTTTTTTTTTGTACACAAAATACCATTTTACCGGCTATTGTAGGTTACTCACAAGGTATTATTTGAACACATGTGTACTTTATTGGTATTTTGTGTATAAAAAATATATTTTAATGGTATTTTGAGTACTAAAAATAAAACAATGGTATTTTTTATATATTTTTGAAACTTCATTACCTTTTTAAGTTATTATCCCTAATAAATACACTAAATTATTTCAAACCCACAATGTAGTGCTAGGGCTTTTACTAGTTACTATTTACTATTTTGATTATATATATATATATATATATATATATATATATATATATATATATATATATATATATATATATATATATATATATATATATATATAGTGGTGAGGAATGTTGCAGTGGAAAATGAATGGACATCGCTGAATAATCATTTATACTTATAACTCTCATGTCGTACTGGTCCGCCGAAACCGATATATATATACAACCGCCACATTTCTGACCACCACTACTACCATCTCAGCCACCAAGCGGTTAATCTACGATTAATCGCCGATTAATCCCAATTTCTGTAACCATGCATATATGTATAATCAATTATGATTAGACATATAAGCATAATAATATAATCATAGAATCATTTAGGATTAGACATACCTCGTTGATGCCGATATGGTTAAGCGTTATATGACAAATAAGAAATATATGTCTGATGTTGAATCTCAAAATCTTAATTTTTTTTAAAAATCTCAAATGAACCATCTTTTATATATATATATATATATATATATATATATATATATATATATATATATATCTTTACTACTTATAAAAGAAATCTAACTATTTCTATAAATAGATTGAATATAATAATATTATTTTTTTAAGACGTACAAACGATTAAGCTAATATTACAAACAACCATTAATAAAATAATATTAAATTTTAAATTTGTTTTGATTCCTTATATTTCTCAGCAAAATCCTAATTTCATGGTCATTCAAAATTTAAAACATTTTCATCCTAATACGCTTCAACAAATATCCTTTAAATGTTGCATTTGCAGCTGATTAAAATATCTCATAGCAGACGTGTGTTTGTTCTCTCCACCTTATAAACTCTGCTATAAATCCCACTGCCATGAAGTATTTCCCTTATAAACCCTAATCGTTTTTCTCCCTCTCTTAGACGAAGACAATGTGTTTTTTTTAAGAAAAAAAGTTTGAAAATATTCCAATTTCTCAAAAAAATTTACCCCAAATGCGAAACTGGGTAAAAATTTCCATTTTGCGAAGACTACAGGGATGCGAAATGAAAATTCTGCACTTTTGTCTTTTTATGACCCCATTTTGCGAAGTTGGACCACTTATATTATTTCTTGAAAAGATCAGGTGCCAAATGCGAAACTCTAAGCTTTCTTCCCCAATTCGCATTTATACATTAAAAACTTTGCATTTTCATTCAAATTCTTCGCATCTTGCATCCATCCGTCTTTGAGTTCATTCGCATTTCATCGCATTAACTGAGAAATTAATCAGTTGTCTCATATTCGCATTTCAGTTGTTTGAGAAACCCAGATACGAACCCAAATGCGAAACCCACTGATTTCAAATGCGAACCAACCAAAAATCATCAACCACGTACTTGTGTCACCAAATGCGAACTGAATATCACCATTAAATTCTCCTCGCATTCTATAGATGCGAACACAATCCAGATCTCCGACTCCAAGCTTGCGAAATCAAAATCAATTAACCTCAAACAAATCGTGAACTTCTTATGCGAACTGTTTTGACCCACAAAACCAAATGCGAACTCAATTGATGTCATATGCGAACTGATTTCATAGATGCGAACACAATTGATTTCATATGCGAATCCACATCCATTGATATGAAACCAATACCAGTTACAAGCAATTAGTAGCAACCATCGATCCTCTAATTTTCAATTACTCAGCCTTCGCTTTTCATACAACCCGTCGACCCTGAAAAATCGATAAACACCAAATGTCTCATTTTTAGATCGATTTTCTGATTAAATGTCATATTTGAAGAATGATCGATTTTCTGATTAAATGACCCCATTTTGCGAAGTTGGACCACTTATATTATTTCTTGAAAAGATCAGGTGCCAAATGCGAAACTCTAAGCTTTCTTCCCCAATTCGCATTTATACATTAAAAACTTCGCATTTCATTCAAATTCTTCGCATCTTGCATCCATCCGTCTTTGAGTTCATTCGCATTTCATCGCATTAACTGAGAAATTAATCAGTTGTCTCATATTCGCATTTCAGTTGTTTGAGAAACCCAGATACGAACCCAAATGCGAAACCCACTAATTTCAAATGCGAACCAACCAAAATCATCAACCACGTACTTGTGTCACCAAATGCGAACTGAATATCACCATGAAATTCTCCTCGCATTCTATAGATGCGAACACAATCCAGATCTCCGACTCCAAGCTTGCGAAATCAAAATCAATTAACCTCAAACAAATCGTGAACTTCTTATGCGAACTGTTTTGACCCACAAAACCAAATGCGAACTCAATTGATGTCATATGCGAACTGATTTCATAGATGCGAACACAATTGATTTCATATGCGAATCCACATCCATCGATATGAAACCAATACCAGTTACAAGCAATTAGTAGCAACCATCGATCCTCTAATGAGGAAACAGTTTCCTATTCGATTGTGCTTTGCAATGACAATCAATAAAGCTCAGGGACAAACAATTCCATATGTAGGTATCTATCTTCCAGAACCAGTATTCTCGCATGGACAACTTTATGTTGCATTGTCCAGAGGGGTTTCACGTTGCAATACAAAAGTATTAGTAAAGCCTAACGAAAATTCAAAAGGTGATGGGGTTTATACAGCAAATGTGGTGTATAAAGAAGTATTGCACGATTAATATTTTTGTGTCGTCTTGACTGGTTGCTTTTTATTGGTTATTTGATGCATGATGTAACAAATAACACCATAGTTTGATTATATTGTCTTCAACATGTACTTTTTTTTAACATAACAATTTTGTAATGGAAACATATCACCGAAAGAACTCACGTGCCCCGCCGCTTTGCGCGGGTAGACGGCTAGTATATATATATATATATATATATATATATATATATATATATATATATACACACACACAAATAAGAAATATATGACTGATGTTGAATCTTAAAATCTTAATTTTTTTTTAAATCCCAAATGAACCATCTTTTATATATATATATATATATATATATATATATATATATATATATAAAGCATTCATATTTGTGGGTTCCCAAAAAATTAAGATAATGTCTTAAAAAAACAAGGAGATGGAATTTGAAACCTTTGATCTAATTTGTACGGTGGGGATTAAATTGATGGTAATCCAAGTGAAATGCATATAACCAATCACAAACCATGTTTTTTTAACGTACAACCGTTAAACTATCATGTACCAATTTTGAAGCCAAATGTAAAAACTGACATTAATCATCTTCACATGGGATCGGATACGCATACACACTATGTTCTGTCTTCCTGTTCAATTCATTTCAAATTTTAAAAATAGAAACACACGCTCCCCTCTCACAAACTCTTTCAAGAAAACCATCGGTCACCGCCATTTCCCATGTATTCTTCCATGTACCTCCACCTACCATCGCCGCACAAATTTCTCACTTCCATCTTCACGAGTTTTTAACCATATAAGTGTTTTTGAAAAAAATATTTACCCAATGGGTATTCTTTTAAACATATTTACTATAATGGGTTTTTTTTGGTAATTTAGTAAAAAAAAAGAAAAAACACCGTGCCCTAACTCATTCTTTCACAGCGTCGCTTTTACCTGCAGGAAGAGAGGCGCCCTTCAGCCAGACCTTCTTCTCCGGCCAACCCTTCTTCTCCGGCCGAACCGACGACTCCGGCGAATCCACTGCAGCCGACGACTCCAAGGCAATCGGAGGTTGCGACTTCACAGGTAAGAAGCACTCTTCAAGCAGTTCAATTTTTTAAACTTTAATCTTCAATCACAGGTTCGATAATCAGTTAAAGAAACGATTCTATTGTACCTTAATGTTCGATTTCTGTTTTTTTTTTTTTGGATTTCCATCACAGGTTCGAATTTTTGAACCTTAATCTTCAATAGCCAATTGTTTCTCTATTTTGTTGTTGTTACTGAAACTTTTGATTCCAATTGTAATAGTTTTCACCACAGTTAGGATTTATTGTCTACATTTGTGAGTATTTGAAATTTTCTGTGAATGCAATTAGATTCCATTCAATCACAGATTCACATTGAACGAAATTTTAGTGAATGAAATTAGAATTACTTGAATTAAATTAAATTTGCTTGAAAATTTGAGTTTTAGTTTATGTTATGATTGTTTGTTATGTTATATTTTTTGGTAGATGGATGCTAATGTCATATCAGACATTGTTCAAAATGAGAATTTCTATACAATCTCTCAAGTTGCAGTGGTGAGCAATGCAATAACAAATGACAATGAAGCTGATGCAAATGAAGTGCTTGAAGAAGATGGCATAGGAGAAGAAGATGATGAAGACGCTTTTGACAACAACTTTCAAGTTCCTTCAACTTTTACTATTATAGTAGAAACGAATATGACCACCGACAACAATTGGATTGTGACACAATTAGCGAGCAAAAATGATTTTACACAAGAGTTAGGGAAAGATTCTTTAAAGGACAAAGAAGAACTTATTAGAGCTATCAAGATTTATAGTATTAGGACACATAAACAGTTTGAGGTTGTTGAGACACGTCCAACTCTATGGACCATAAGATGCAAGTTACATTTACAATCCGGTTGCAAATGGCAAGTTCGTGCAATCAAACGAAAACGAAGTGGATATTTTGAAATTACAAAGTACATGGGTCCACATACTTGTTTATACAACAATATTTCGCAAGACCATCCAAATCTAGATGGAAGCTTGATAGCCCAGGAAACCAAACATCTTATTAAAGAGCAGCCTTCAATTAGTATTCCTGCGTTGAGAGCCGAAATAGTCGATAAATTAGGTTATATTCCTTCATACAAAAAGGTTTGGACCGAAAAACAGAAAGCGATTGAACAAGTATTTGGCAATTGGGAAGAATCTTATTCTGCTTTACCCAAATTTCTATGCGCAGTTCAAAAGTTCAATCCGGGGACTATAGTCGAGTGGTTAGTTTTGAGCTCAACCAATGAAGAACCCATGGAATTTAGACGTGTTTTTTGGGCTTTTGCCCCTTCTATTAAGGGGTTTGTACATTGTCGGCCGGTGATTAGCATTGACGGCACACATTTGTATGGTAAGTACAAGGGAACGATGATGATTGCAATGGGAGTTGATGGTAATAATCAGATTTTGCCACTAGCATTTGCAATTGTAGAAAATGAATCGTATGATAGTTGGAATTGGTTTCTTTCTTATATCAAGATTCATGTGGTAAAAGAACGTGAAGGTATTTGTTTAATTTCTGATCGTCATCTTGGAATCCTAAAGGCGGTCAATCAACATGGATCGCCATGGTTAGAGCCACGTGGTTTTCATAGGTAATGTTTATAACACACATTATGTTTATTTTTTTAAACCTTTATAACTCACATTATTGTTGTTTATTTCATAGGTATTGTTTACGTTATTTTATCAACAACTTTTACGAGAAGTTTCGTAATTCAGAATTGAAAGGTCTAGCTTATCGTGCCGGGAGTCAAAATCAAGTTGGAAAATTCAACTCGACCATGGAAGAAATTGGGAAGCTAAATCCACAAGCTAGACAATGGCTAGAGAGTCATCCACTTGATAGATGGACACTTGCACATGATGGTGGGAGGAGATATGGGTTGCTCACAACAAATTTGTCAGAGATTTTTAATAGTGTCCATAAAGGTGCCCGTTTTTTACCAATCACGGCTTGTGTCCAACTTACTTTTTATAGATTGGTGCATTACTTTGAGGTGAGACGCCCTTTAGGAAACAGTTCACGGGCTAATGGAGATGCATATACCCCTCATGTTCTTGTCAAACAAGTAGCTTTGATGTCAAAAGCAAGTGCACATTCCTTGAGATCTTTTAATCGAGAGAAATGTATATTTGAGTTGATAACTCAAAGAGGAAGAAATGTGCAAGTAGTTAATTTGGAGCAAAAAACTTGCACATGTGGTAAGTGGGAAGTGTTTAAATATCCTTGTTCTCATGTCTTGAGTGCATGTGCCACACTTTCTTTGAATAGTTGGCAATATGTTGATAAATGTTACTCAATTGTAAAATATTGTGATACTTGGGCTTCCAAATTTTCCCCACTTCCTCATGAAGCGTATTGGCCACAATCTTTGTTTAAAGAATTACTTCCAAATTTTGAGCTCTTACGGAATAAAAAAGGTCGTCCCCGCTCAACAAGACTTCGAAATGGAATGGACATTAAAGAAGGAAGAAAAGCGAACCTTTGTGGAATTTGTAAGCAAAGTGGTCACAATCGAAAAAAATGCCAGTCTAAACCAAGGTAAATTAAGACATTCAACAATTTTTCATTTGTATAACTTTATATCTTATTTTTTATATCTTATTATTTTTTATTTTTTTGCAGATAGTGGTTATCGAATCAAAGTTATTTGGAATGTTTCTTATTTTCTTTTGTCTTTAGTAACAGATTGTTGGGTTTGTACTTCAAATATTTTAGTGTTAGATGATGTTTGTGAGTTTAAATTTAAAAAGTTGTTGGTTGATCTAAATTTTAAAAGTTGTTTCTTGATTTTTACAAGAAGATTTGTTAGTTACATGATGTTTGTAAAAAGCAATTAATAAACATTAAAATCAAAGAAAAATAAAAAAAATAATAAAATTATATTAAATAAATAAAAAATTAGTTACAGTGAAACATAGAATTTACATATAAAATGGCTTTAATTTGTGGTGCATGTCCTCGTAGGAAAGAAGGAAAAGGAAAGGATTACATGTTTTAAAAAATAAAATAAAAAGGTAAATAACCCTATATGGTAAATATGTTTAAAAGTATACCTATTGCGTAAATAATTTTTTCAAAAACACCTATTATTTCTAAACCTAGCTATCACCACCCTCACTCACATATTATTTCTAAAATCCCTAAATCTAATGTCAGTCTTAGACATCATTAGTTCATCAAACGGATCGAAAGAGAAATAGCTGAAAATTTAGAGTGGCATTTTCCCATCCCTAGTTTTTAAATCACACACCAACACCTTCACCGTTTTCATCTCAAACCACAGACATTCTTTTTCTCTTTATCAAGCCCTAATTTCTCTTGCTCTATCTCCCTTTCTAGTCATGGAGGTTTTTTTTTTTTTTTTTTAAATATGGGGTGAAGATTATAGGAAATTGAATGAACCGAGATTGAAGAGCGAGACCAAGAGCACAACTGAATTTGGTGTTTCATTGTTAGTACACCACCATGTTTCTCCACTATGTCGATTAGAGGATCTGGATCTATATCCAAACACTAGCATCATCAGTTCTCTCTCTTTCTCTCTCTCTCTCTCTCTCTCTCTATATATATATATATATATATATATATATATATATATATATATATATATATATATATATATATATATATATATATATATTATTTAGATTTTAACTTGGCTTGCAGGTACAGTTACCAAGAGATTTTATCGGCACACATACATGGTCATGGTGATGGTCTTCTTTGCCTCCGGTCACTAGATTCACCACTAGGCACAGTTTTTATGATTTTCCAGGCAACAATCTAGACTCTCTTCAACTCTTCCTCTATCCATTACAGTTTGTTTTTTTACTAAAAATCTCATGATCTAATCTATTTATGTTTTAAATGCAGGTTTTGTTCTAAAATCATATAGTTTATGATTGTTCATTTAGTTCCATGTTACTCAAATCTCTCAAAAGTAAGGACATTTAAATCGTATAAGTTTTTAACATTCAATTTGTATTCTGATTAACTTAAGTCTTTCTAATTGGTTGTACTTTTCTTTTTCTACTTAAAATCGTTTTTATTACTTAAAATTCTTCTGGACAAATGAATAGTTATCGAGATGTCTATTTATTTATTGTGCTTGTAGGTGCTACCATCAGATCGTATACTTACCAGTGGAGTCTGGTTCATTTGAATTTGAAACTATATTGTTAATTTGTTAGATAAGAAGCTCTTAATAAATGTCTATTTACGTACATAAGGAAAACTTATTCACTCAATATCATTGAATATTTTTATCTTGGCATGAAGTGTTTTGCAGAGTCTAAAATGATACACTACCAGTAATGGAAAGTTGGTTAAGGCAACCTTTTCTACTACAATGCACCAAATCTGTGACTCTTTCTTTTATTCTTTTCCCACTTTATATTTTCTTTTTTCTTGTCATCTTTATATGTTTTCCTGAATTATTTCTTTATAATTTTTGTGTTCTTGGTTGATGAATGTTTATTTTCTTTTTGAGTTTTAGGTTGTGTCTGATATCAAGGGCAGATTTATTCATGTATCCACAACCAAGGTATCTCTATTACTATTTTGTAATAAAACACACACGCACACACACATGCACACCTCACGTTGCTTGAACATACAACATGAAATGTGAGTTGTCGAATTATAAATGTATTGTTTTGCGGGTTTTGTCCCAGATGTTGGGGTTGCCAGATTCCATTCTTGTGTGTGTGTGTGTTTTTAAAACAAATAATTTCATTTTACAGGTCAGAGCAGTATTAGTGCCCCAAATTTCTGTTTCTACATCAGCTTGCGTCAAAAGGTGTATGGCTCATTTATCCACTTAATTGTTATTGTTTATTTCATAATGATAACTATATCTAGATTTTGTTTATATGCTTGATATATTTGGTGAAAAGGGCTTATTTTTATTCATAGTCTTACAAAATAGTAATAAAAAAATATTCAATTACTAGATTTTATGGATTAAAATTTGATGTCACTATTAACATTTTTACCCTTTTTGACCATGTTACCTTCATGACTTTAGGTGGGAATGAGTATGGCTACTTGAGATGATGCATGGTTAGCTATTGGCTGACTTTGAGCTATTTTGTAGTAGGTAATTTGTCAATCTTTCAACCTTCACATGCATAAATTTCACCCATTTATGTTTTCGTTGTTTTATACTTGATGCAAATAACTGGTTTTCGACATTTTTTTCTATTTCACATGAACTACAATTGCATGTAGTTTCATGTGTTGAAACACAAAATGATTAGCCAAAGAAATATCAGCAGGTTCTGACATGACTTATTCTTACTTTTTTTTTTTTTTTTTTTTTTTTTTATGTATGTACGTGTTTGTTAAAATGCACCTCTTTTGTTGTTTTTGTCATGCAGGAATGGATGAAGGAGGTCTTGAAGTTTGATCTTTGTTTGACTCTGACATGAAGTTTTTTGATGAACAATCGGTTGTTTGAATATGATGAAAATGTAACATTAACCTATTGGGATGAATGTGTGTTTTTAACCCATTGAAAAAAGAATTATGTCAAGATAAAAGTGTAAATTATTAAAAAACGAATATTCTAATATAATTTGTTCCCAATAAAATTACAACATTCTTATAAGATAAAAATTGCCATCAAATTTAATAAAAAAAATTATATTTAATAAATGTTTTCTTAAACCGGATGCTGTTGTTGATATTTGAAACTTGCCAAAGTAAACACAAAAGGAATATATTTTTATTAAAAACTAGCAAATTTTTTGTCATTAACAATTAATATCAATGTATGTAACGCATGTGTTTCTAGGTCTGTTATAAATGATGATATAATAATCTACGTTAACCTTTGTAACCCGTTTTGAAATAATAGAAGTGTATTATTTGAGTATTATGTGTTTTGTGCTTAATTGTTTAATTATGTGGTTTGATTAATTAAGAATAAAAATAAGCGTCAAAATTTAAGTATAAAATAAACATGATATCTTTGTATAATGTTATAGTAGTTGAAACAAGGTTTCCAAAGATATAAAGAATGCCGAAATCCGAGTTATAACAAAGAAGTTATGACCTGTCGAAGTTTCGCAACAGAACCGGCAACGCTGAATGATGTAAAAAGTGAAATTTACGTTAGAGCGATATTTAGCCTTAGTGATCTAAACGAGAATCGAAGATCTCGTTGTTGGTATCGAAGCGATAAAAAGTTAGGCGAGAACGGACGTCAAACGAAGAAGTTATGAATTTATAACGAAATTTTCTGTCCCAGCCTATTAAAAATAAATAATAAAAAACAAAGTCAAAATTAGTTGACGGAGTCTAAACTAAAGTTGTAGAGCGTAGTCTCACCTACGTGTGGATATAAAGAACGTCGAAAACGGAGTTCGTATGAAGAAGATATGAATTTTCGAAGTTTATTAAATAATTAATAATTAAATTTAATTATTAAAACCGGCCTTATCCGAAGGGGAGTCACCGATCTGATCCGAAGTACGCCCAGCGTACTAGCGTACGCCCCGCGTACAGCGAAGCATGACACGCCTCGCACTCGAGTTCTTCGGATGACGCATGCAGTGACGAATTCGGAGGCTTACGCCCCGCGTAAGGCAGTACACCCCGCGTTCTCCGAGGCTCCAGCCTCCTATAAATAGGATGCGAGGGCAGCCTGCTCCTTTGCTATTTTTCTCTCTTCTCTCTCCCATTTTACCTCGATTTGCGTGCCAGAAGTACCCCGAAGCCCCGGTAATATTCCCGAGTCCCGAAGCAAGTCCCGAGATCCCGAAGATCCCGAGAAGTGCGGTTTCCGAGCCGAAGCTCTGTCCGCAAGAAGTTCGATTTTTGTAGAGATCTTCCAGATCTGCTGAGGATTACTACTTTTACAAGCCGTAGTGTTGTCCGATCATCTTCTGATCAGGTGAGTGTGTAGTTACTTTCTTCTAACGCATAATTATGAAGTATTTTATACGAAATACGTGTTATGTGTATAATTTTGTTGTTATGTACGTGAATGTATATTCACTCTCTTCAATCTCATAGATCTAATTTGTTTTCTATGAAATACGTGTTATGTGGGTATGCCTCATCTGTTATGTGAAATATGTATTGGATGAAAATGCTATAGAGGTTTTAAACTATGTATAAAAATATATATATTTTTATCTACTAATATGTTGGGTAGAACATGGGTAGATAGTTGGTGTGTAATAAACAGATGAGAGGCCTCGATGTTGTTGTTGTTGACCTAGTTATTCAGCGGAGTATGGATAACGACCACAGACTCCTTCTAGACAGTCTCGTGGAACGCTAGCAGGTTCATAACCTGTAGGTGTTGTGAACGATGTGTTCACCGGTGTACTCTATCCCTCTCATGGTTGCCTTTAGGATATCTATTGTTGAGGAAACCCCTTAGCAGTAATGTCCGTCCCGATGAAAATATTAGATTAGGTCCCTTGAGATAGATGTCGTTTTAGGGACGTAAAGTGAGGATAACGGGAATGGGTAATCGGGATAGTGATTGGTTGGTGAAATTAAATATAATTTATTTATTGTGGGTTGAAAACCATATATGCTCACCAGGCTCCCAAGCCTGACCCACTCAGTTTTATTTGTATTACAGGAAGTGGCGCAAGGGCGTAAGATGGATGAATCATCGAGTTGTTTTGTTTACAAGTCTGTATATGTATATATTTGTTGAATGACTTGTAATGTTATCGTTCATGCTTTATGATTTGTATCGGAACATGACACCCCGAGTTTTAATCATATAATGAAAATGCATCTCTTGATGAAATGCTTTGATAAATATTATTTTATCATGTTTTATTTTGGGAACAAATTCCGCAATACTTTTAAATCAAAAGGATTTACTCTAAAATTATTTTAAAAAGCATAAATGAAATCGGTTTTTTCTGGTCGTGATTTTGGGGATGTCACAATGTATGTTTGTCGATTAGATAAATAACAAATATACTAGATTCTCACCTAAAAGAAATTCATAATAAAAAAGAAACTATTCATCGAACGACGAACGTAATCTATTTGATGCCTGCTGAAAAGAAACCAATTATCGAGAATGATTATCCGACACACAACAACCTGCCAAAATGCTGAAATGATACAAAATAAAAACTAATCGTGGTATGGAAACTATCAGCCATAAGGAATAATCTTGTGTCGCCGCATCGCGCAAATATGCTACTAGTATATATATATATATATATATATATATATATATATATATATATATATATATACACATAGAGAGAGAGAGTTGTGTTCAATTGAGAAAATAAAAAAGGTTGAGAATGGGAGAATCATTCTCAGCCACTCATTTTATTCAAGCATAATAAGACACAGTGACAAACTTGTAAATATGAGAACAACCTTCAATCTCAAATACGTATCTGTAGTTCAAACTCGTTCATCGTTCATCATCCAAATTTCTTCTCCAACTTTCAACAATCATCCAGATTTCTTCAATCAAACCATAATCAACATCATCCAATGCTAATCAATCAGCGATCTTCGTCAATAATCAACTCGATTCAACAGTTAAAACAACAAAAATTCGTTTTTGGTTCTTTTAATTCAAACTTCAATTGTGCTTAAATATGATCAGATCTTCAACATCTATGATTAATTATACTCCCAACGTTATTAGATCAACATCATCGATAATCAACAAAAATCCACTTCATATCATTCATTCAACATCGATTATCAAATAAAACTTGAAAGTTGAGGTTAGAAAAATATCAAATCGTTTTTTTTTCTTTTGAAAAATTTCATATAATTCGCTATCAATCTACTCTTTTGTAGATTTAAATAGTCAAAATATCATGTTTCTAACATTTTTAAAAAAAGTTAAATTGTATGCACTCCAACTGTTTGATGAAATGCATGAACTAAATTAGCACGTTATATTCATATATGAATATGTTTTCTCAGTATATGATTATTAAAACAAAAAACCAAGTATGTAAGTCTTTATGTTATTCATATGTGAATAACATATAAAAATTATATATATTTGTGAAAATACCTTGTAATATTCATATGTGAATATACTATGTAATATTCATAAGTGAATATATCATCTAATATTCACAAATGAATATACTATTTAATATTCAAATGTGATATACCATGTAATACTATGTAATATTCAGATATGAAGATATTATCTAATATTCATAAGTGAATATATCGTCTAATATTCACAAGTGAATATACTATGTAATATTCATAAGTGAATGCATCGTCTTCTATTTAAATATGAATATACTATGTTTATTATATGCTATATTCATATATGATTGATACTTAAACTGTAAAAAAAAAAAAAAAAAATCATATTTTTTATTCATAACTGAATAACGAATGTACTGTAGTAAAAATCTGATTCATTTTTATTCACTTATGAATAACGATAGTTGAACATATAAAAAAAAAAATTTATTTTATCTTAAAACTATATCAATATGGATGTCTATTTGTAGAGAATAAAAAATCATGAATTTTGGTATATTTAAAATCATTTTTCGATAAAAATAACTTCTTAAAAATTAAAAAAATCGAAAAAACTATATTTTTGTATAGAGTAAGGTAATGATTAGCATAGTTTAAGGAAACATGTTTAGTTCGAAAACACATGTCTATTCCTTTCCCATTTCTGTTGGTACGACGGAGACTTTTGCGGCAAAAATAAATGAGTGATTGAGAATGATTCCCCCATTCTCAACATTTTTTTTTCTCAATTTAACCCTCCTCTCTCTCTCTCTCTCTCTATATATATATATATATATATATATATATATATATATATATATATACATACATATATATATATATATATATATATATATATATATATATATATATATATATATATATATATATATATATATATATAGGGTTAGGTTTATTTGAGACCACCTATATTTTGTGAGACCGTGAGACGCATTTTTTTATTTTTTTTATTTTATTTTTATTTTTTTAGTTAATTCATGTTCCGAAAATAATATTTAAAAAAAGAATTTTTTGATTTTTCCATTTATTTTGTATTTTAAAATTATTTTTAAAATATGTACAGTGTAATATTCTATTTAGAATATTTCACGTATTTTAAAAAAAAATAGATTTTTTTTAATTTTTTTTTAATTTTTTTTAGTTAATTCAAGTTCCGAAAATAATATTTAAAAAAAGAATTTTTAGATTTTTCCATTTATTTTGCATTTTAAAATTATTTTTTAGAATATGTCAGTGTAATATTCTATTTAAATATTTCACGTATTTTTAAAAAAAAAAAACGGAATTTTTTATATTTTTTTTTTATATTTTTTTTAGTTAATTCAAGTTCCAAAAATAATATTTAAAAAAAAGAATTTTTGGATTTTTACATTTATTTTGCATTTTTAAATTATTTTTAGATTTGGTCTCACGGTCTTAAAAAATTAGAATGGTCTCAAATGAACCTGAACATATATATATATATATATATATATATATATATATATATATATATATATATATATATATATATATATATATAATAAATTGATGTATATGTCTTCTAAGGGCCTGATTACCAAATTAACCGAACTTTAGGCCAATGAAATAACCTCTTTTATCCAGACTCTGGAACTCGTTTTGAAGTAACGTTAAGCAAATACTGTCGTTTAAGGTGTCTTTCAAGAATCTACATCTGGTGGGAACCAATTAATCAAATCGACACGTCGTGAATCCTACTCGTTGCCTCGTGAATCCTAATCAAAATAATGATTCATAATCAACTATGTCGCACGATTTCTTCCCTTCTCATAGCCTCTTACCAGCCTTCAGATTAAAATCAGTTATGTCGAGCGAATGTAAATTTGCAAAGCACCCGACGAATGAGATAAAAAACATAAGGTTGGCCATAGATTTTTTTTGTTTGTTTTTCCTTTGATTCTTTTGTTTTTCAACTAGTATAAGTTTCTGATTTGATTTATTATTCATGTTTCTTATATATTATTATTATTTATTTAATTTTTTATTTTGTTTGTGTATTTGTGTCTCAGATTGCTAGAAAGTGGACTGTCAATTATTTCTAGCTTTTACCTAGGTTTCATTTTTTTTACTTAACAATGTAACTTTTTTGTAGATATCTAATTCAAAACCCAAAAATTTTAATCCAATTTTTTTTTTTGATGTTTTAGTGTTGTTTCTGATTTTATTTTGTATTCACGTTCCTAGTCGTGGTATCTAATCAAATGCTAAAAGGTTATATATTTTTTTTCCTGATTTTGGATGTTCTCAGATTTCTCGAGACTTGACTTTATATATTCTACCTACATTTTAGATTTTTTACTTAAGAACGTAATATTTTTTGTTAATATATTATTCAGAATTCAAAACTTTAAATCCAATTCTAATTTTCAGATGTTTGATTGTTTGTTTCTGATTTTAATTTGCAGTTGCACCTTAATTTAAATTGAATATGATATTAGGCTTCAATAACTTTGAGACATAAATCATATACCAAAAATCAGATCTAATATTTTCCTATAAATAGATAGTGTTTAAGTATTTACAATTTACAATGTTTTCCAAAAAACATTTATCTGGAAGCCAGAAAAGGAAGAAACGAAATTTTTTTGATGCCTTCGATCAAACTTATAAAGGATCTATGCATAATTTTTTCCAACCATTGAGTTTGTCTAGTTTGAATGAAGGAAAACTAATTTGAATTAAAATGATACTAATTTCTCTTTTAGGTAATATTGTGGTCATATTTATGTTGTCGGCTTTGTAACGATGTGTTTATTTTTAAATTAAATTAAATTATTATTCTAGGGATCCATTTTTTTTCTTTTCGTCCTGGGCCCGCAAGACGTTTGGACCGGCCATATATATATATATATATATATATATATATATATATATATATATATATATATATATATATATATATATATATATATATATATATATATATATATATATATATATATCATGGAGTTGCCCAACTACATGTCGTCACACACCTTGAGCCTTAGTGTCCTATAGTTTTGTCAAATCATGCAACTTAGTTGTTTAGAATATGAAATAAAATATTAATATTTGTATAATTTTGGACGCAAAATGTGTTATCTTAATTATATCTTAGCTGTCGCATTAAATTAGTATCCATATGAATTCCTATATATTCATTTGATTTTGTTAGAACTAATATGAAGTCATCGGCAGAACGTTAAAAAAAAAAACCATATATAATGATTTTTAAGCCATTTGTTGTTGTATTTTTTGGAATTTTGATTTGCACAGTAGACATTATTTATGCGACAAACCTTGAGAGTAAACTCTTTGATATTGATGTCGCAATAGCTCGGTCTGTAGAAGGACAAATAAAGGCGGCTAGAATTCAGATGCAGGATTCTGAAACCAAGCTCAGACAAATTAGCGGAAGCTTGAAAATGAAAGTTGAAAATATACTTGGAAAATTAACTGCGGCTAGAATGCAGATCCAGGATGCTGAAAGTCAGCTTGGCCAAATTAGCGGAAGCATGGAAGAGGATGAAGAAATTCCAAGTGAAAAGGTAGTAGGAATGTTCAGTGATGATATTAGAAATAATCAGGACCGTCAACTTAACAATGGAGCAGGCAGGGGTGGAACTTCAACATTTGATTCGGAGGGACCGATAATATAATATGTATAAAAATTGGTAAGCAGAGAGGACCACAACCAAAATTTTATATTTTTGGGCCTAAAATATATAAAATAAAACTATAAAGGATTATTTATAAACCAAATAAGAGGGGTCATAGGCCCCCCTTGCCCTAATAAAGCTCCGCCAGTGGCGGGAGGAGAAGGAGGTGTTGGTGGTGGTGGCATACTTAGAGATGGGATAGGAGATGGTGCTTGAGGAGGAGGTCATGGTGGTGGACACAGATGACTATGAAACACAATAAAACTTGCAGAGTATAGGGCGAAAATTGCATGCTAACTCTATCTATTTGCTTTTAAATAAACACGCATTGTTTGAAGGTGTGTCAAAGATGCATGTTTTATATTATCCTTGTGTATTATATGTGTCATTAATAAGTGGTTCAATATCTCAAAACTGTCATGTGTATATGGATTATCTCTATAATCTCTAACTATAAACTTTTGATCATACTTAACACGCCATAAATTATACTAGGGATCTTTAAAATATAGATGGTTTTCATTATGGTGGAATATGGTTAGATGATGGGTAAAATAGTCTCTATGCAATAAATATAATGTCATGTTGAAATCATATCAACGTTATGTTGGATTTTATTCAAAAATACGGTTTCTAAAACGGCATAACGAAACCCAAGCTCAAAATCCGGTTTCTAAAACGGTAAAACGGCAACCTTTGATGAATTTGGTTCTTCTTTGGAGGTTGAAAGTTGATAAAAAATATAAATTAGAACTTAGTCTTAATTAGAAACACCAACAATTCTTCAACTTGATACGATGCTAGTCTTGTTCTTGTAATAATAATACTCTTAAGCCATTAAGAACAAAAACTAGCTTTTGTCATAAAGAGAGTTCAAGTATCAAATATATGCTAAATATCTTAACTAATTTGAGACATAAAGAAAGGGAGAGAGCAACTAGAAAAAGGAATGAGATAAAAAAAAGTCACTTAAAACGTCTCCAAGAGTCCTCTTTATCCATTGAGGTTACTAGCTTTTAGTACGATACCTCTATAGACAAAAGTCTATAAATAAAAGGGTATGGCTTTGCTAATAAACAAGTCAAACTTGTTCCTTTCTTTTTCACTCTCTATTCGCAGCTAATGAAGTCAAAAGGTGAAGAGATATTAGTTTGTGTCAATCTATCAACATTCAATTCCTAAAAGCTCAAAGCTTTAATTAAAGTATAAGGTAATTATATTAGTTATTCGTTTATTACAGATATCCTGTTGAATATGAGACTATGATCGCAATCAATCTCATTTGGTACTTAACTTTGGACAACACTTGTTGGATGTCTAACTCTTAACACATAAGAGGAACAAATATCGTCTTAACAAAAGAAGCCTCTTGCATAGTTTGCACCATACTTGATAATGATTTTTCCGACTACCCGGTTAAGGATCAACATTTGACCACACCCAAGCATACCACTCCATACTCTTAAGTCCCACTATGTATCTCATATGTTAAGGATAAAAAGATAGTACATTTTTATCAATTATCACTAACGAAAGAGATCTATGAGGTGATAGTGATGCGAGTCTGTTCAACACCAGTTCTCTGATAAGTACTTATAATTGTTGGTTACAACCACTTGCCTACATTCATCTAATAAGTGTCAACCAATCTAATTCATATTAGTCTTACTTAATAATTGTTCCGACAATCATGACTAACTATGACCTTCTACAATAATAATGGCTATCAATGGTGTAAACATGTTAATATAGAACATAACAAGTATTAATGTGAAGATGATATCCTTATATATCTAAACAATATAATAGTTGTTGTTTTAATGTTCAAATATCCAGATACTAAATCTAAATCAAATCAAATTTCTAGAATAATAATGTCATATAGCTTAGGCTTAACCATTCATGCTTAGCTTAAAGAAAGACATTTTTTATAGGTATTACTAAATTTTATTTTTGTGAATTCTGATAAATACTATCATCTACATATTTAACTTTATTCTAAGTATAGTTAAATATCTCATAGAATATGCTTGGTCTTATTATGTGATTAGGTTATCCTTGAATGGAAGGACTCAACTTAGTTTTTCAATGAACTCATTCATCCAATCATATTTGATTGTAGCTTCTAAAGTAGCATTGTATTCAGATTATGTAGTAGGCTGTACCGTTATATTTTTATTGAACCTCGTTTCAATAAAAATTACTCTTCATTTCATAATGAAGTCATAATCCAATTATAATTCAGATTTATATCTATCTGTTTTGAAGGTAGCATCTTGTTTAGCTCTTTACATCAATATCTTCTCTAAATTGATTATCTCATATACATTATTTTAGTTCTTCTTAAGTACTATTAGAATCTCCTTATATTCATCCATTGATTTGCCCATGCATCAAATTAGTATCTTATGTTATGTTAATAGCATGATCATATACCTAGTGCATAATGTGGTATAAATTATGGACTCATTTTTCAAAGAAAATAGAATATAAATCATTTTATTTAGCTCAAACCTATGTGCTAGGTCTTTTTAAGGCACACTCAAAATGGTGCCATATGGCAAACTAAATTATCTCCAAAGGAATATTGCATCTTCATTTCTTTCAAGATCTTGTAAACATATGCAAAAGATTTTTAAACTTTAACATTCATCTTTATCTATCTCTATAGATTTTACATATGTAGGGTTCAAAGTATATAGTGAGGTATCGAAGTACATTTAGATCTGGGTAGTGTTGATGTTGAATTCATGTACTTCGAATGTATGTATTATGTAAGACAGTTTAGAGGTCGAATGTATGTATTGTTCTTGTGCTTGTTCAGACATAATCAAAGAGTCAAACAGATTCTACTTACATCTTTTTTCTTAATGCATTTTGTTCTTGATTCCGTTCTTAATACTCGAATCAAACACACTACATTTGGTATCAGATCAGGATACAATCAATAATTTTTTGGTTTTCTCGTCTTTTTCAAAAGTTTTGAATCATTCATTCGAATTCAAAAGATTTCTGCACTTTTGATTAAGAATACTAGTTTTACTTGAGTCAATTGTTACAATTCTGCAATCGTTTGATTGATCGAGTGTTTTCTAAATAGTTTCTAAAAGATTTATCCATTAGATCTCTTTTTCTGAATATTTTTGTCATTTTAGTCCATACAACAATGACGAATTTCAACATAAATACAATATCTAGCTATTCTCATCTGCTTGGATCTTCCACTATGATTCCAATGATTATTCCAGAGTATCACGAGCAATGGGCAGATCACATGGAGGATTACCTCAACGGTATTGACGAGGATCTATGGATATGTGTTACGAGTTGTAATTACTGTCCAGGAACGCTAGAACAAATTGGAACAGTTGGTTCTTCTACTGATGTTGCATTGCAAGTTGATAAAACAAAAGCAAATGATAAAAAATATCTACGGGAACTTTGTGGTGCTCTTCCACCAGTTGTCTACAATTTTGTTAGAGGTTGCAAGAATGCTAAAGAGATCTGGAATACTTTGAAGGAAAAATATCAAGGAAGTGAGAAAACGAAGAAAAGCTCGGTGAAGCAGTGTTTTTTAGAACTTGGAGAATTCAAGAAAAAGGAAGGTGAAACCATCGAACACTACTACGATCATCTTAATGAGTTGATACTCAAATGTAACCATTAAAGAGTCAGACATTCCACTCTTGAATACAATCTCACTTTCCTAATGGGTCTGAAAAAAGAGTGGAGGAATATTAGGTTGATGATAAAGACTCAACAAAGCTTCGATGGCTACTCATTGGCAGACTTGTATAATGTTCTCAAAGCTCATGAGAGCGAAATCAATGAGATAGCTGAAGAATGGAAGATAAATCTAGGAGGTCCACTGGCCTTGATATCGAAGGTGTCAGCGAAGGACTTGGAGATCAAAGTTGCTGAGTTGTTTGGTTCTGAAGATGAAGGATTCTTGATGAACACGGAGAATGAGGTTGTGGCTTACTATTCCAACAACAAAGTGAAAAAGTTCTTTAAGAATCCATTCAATCTGAAATATAAGACTAATAATGAGTTTAAGGGTAATACTTTGTCTGGGAAAGGAATGATAGTTGAGGTGAAGGAAGAAAAGAAAGAGAGCAAGAATGTTGTTGAGAAGGCTAAGAAGAAGTTGAAAGGATATTCGGGGTTTGACTGTAATTATTGCAATGGTGCAAATCATCTGGAAGTAGATTTCATGTTAAGAAAGAAAGAGGAGAAGAAAAAAAAGTTAAAGATGAGGCATATTATGTAGAAAGGTTGGAAGAGGTGAGAGCGAGGACTAAAGGATTGTCACTGGTGGCAAAGGGAACAGTTGAAGGGGATGGAACCTACCAGATTTGATCATCTGATTATGATGATGATGAAATGAGAATCCCCACCCATGGCGCGATGCATGCATGTTTCGAAGATGGCAGTTCTGAAGAAGAAAACATCACTGGGACATGTTTTGCATCGACAGGAGCAGACAAATCTCATATGACATCAAAGGTACGTTTTTTTCTTGAATCGTTGAACATTCCTTCAAGTTCTTATATCACGGTTTTATCTTATTTTTGATGATACTCTTTCTTATGTTAATGAGATGCTAATTTATGTTGGTACCGAAGCTGAAAGATCAAAAAGTATGTTGCTAGACACCCAAAAACACTTGGAATCTAAGAAGAGTCGCATAGATAGTCTAGAGCTACAACTGGATAATATTACTCTTGATAGAGATTTGGTTAGGGAAAACAATGTAATGTTGATGAAACAACAAAATATTTACTATAACAGTGCAAAAAGATTGTATGCAAAGCTAACTGATCTTCATCATTCCTCAGAAACAAGCAAAAACAACATAAGAAGTTATTGAATTTTTTAGAATGTGAAAGAGAGAAAACTGATACAATTTCCTATGATTGTGAGAATCTAAGAATTTGATAAAGCCCCTAATGATTCTTATGCCTATGGAATTGTTAGAATTGATGAATGTTTTAATGCTA